GTCTCTCCAGGCGCCCCCCCCCACCCCCCCCCCCCCCCACCAATATCAATTGACCTATTCTGAGGAACAAGTGATCAGGTCTTGAGAGGTCCTCGCTCTAACCGCATGATCCTCCTATTGTTCTTGCAATTGACCGATCTTTCGGCATATTCAGAGTTCCCTCTCAATACAAGTGGCAGCATGACTCAGCAGGTCCGATTGGGATTTCAATAGGCAATTTCCCTATTGTTGAGGCAGCCTCCTATTATTCCTTATTCACTATTGAAGCCATCGTCATGCCATCCACAATAGCCGCAACAGCCAGGTCAATTGAGAACAAATGCACCGTGATGCCTCTGGCCCAGAGGGGCTCCAGGTATAAATACCTCACCACTTCCCCCTCGTGCTCGTCGCAAGCCTCCTCTTGATTTTCCGGTTGAAGTTGACGTTGTTTTTGTTTATTTCTCTCCGGCCCCTTTCTCCCTTGCCAAAATGGCTGCCGCAAGGTCTCTCATCGTTGTCTCTTCTCCTGCGGCTGGTCCCGCAACCTCCACATCTTCACCGGTGCAGGACGAGCATCCCTCTCCCGCGGCCGAGTCGCCCGAGCTCTCTGCGGCGGACTCCGCCGACTCTCCCGGGTCGAGCCGGTCCTCGTCCCCTATGTTTGTCGAGTCTACCGCTGGCGGTGACGAAGAAGACAGCGAGGGTGACGAGGACGAGTACGAGAACGAGGAAGACGAGGAAGACGAGGAAGACGAGGAAGACGAGGAAGACGAGGAAGACGACGAGGACGAGGACGCCGACGCCGACGCCGACGACGAGGGCGACGCCGACGACAACGGCGCCGCCGCCGAGCAGCAGCGAGAGCAGCTGGAGAGGGAGCTCCATTGTGCATACGTCGAAATCTGTAAGTGCGAAATACCAGTGTCCGTTTCTGGCAAGCCAGCATTCCAGTGATCACCATGAATTTATCCCTTCTTTTCCCGGTCATCTTCATCACTGGCCTGCAATTCGCTTTTTTTTTATTAGATCTTTCTGAATTTAACCTTTTTATTCTCTTTGATTGTCCTTGTCTGTTACCTGCCCGCGAACAGTGCCGGATCCGCACCCCTGGATGCTCATCACATGTTGAATGCCGGATGGACAGACCGATTTCGATTGTGCAGATGTCTTACTTACTTGGAGCTGAGCGCAAGCTCCCAATGTTCTGTTTTCAGACACCATGTTTTGCTGAACGCAGAAGTGCAACACTCACCTGATTTCTTTGTCCCTCCACAACTCCTCTTTTCTCCTCATCGTGTTCAAGTTTCCTCGAATGCGGCCCATCCCACGACTGTTACAGGGTTTGCTTGTTCTGTTCACCCACACCTTGGACGCTCTGCATCGAAAACAACAACCTCTTCACCCAGGAACCCAAGCTGAACCCAACAAACAGCCAAGCTCCAGCACCTAACCGTTGACGGCCTCGCCGACCTCCTCCGCGGCCTCAAGATCAACGACGACCGCGAGGACCGCACCCGCGACAAGAAGGAGGCCCAAGACCTCCGGGCCGCGCTCCGCGACAGGGACGGTCGGGTCGAGCGGCTGCGCAAGACCGCCACGGCCGAAAGGCGCGCTCGGCAACGCGCCGCCAAGGAGGTTCAAGACCTCAGGGGCGCGCTCCGCGACAAGGACGCACGGATCCACCAGCTGCGCAGGAGCGTCACGGCTAAAAGGCGTATGAGGCGGCGTGTGGCCAAGGCCAGCCCCGAGCCGCAGCAGCAGCGCCGGCGACGGCAGCAGGAGGCCCACGAGCTCCTGGACTGTGGCTTCTGGGAGAACCAGTACCAGTACGACGTCCAGCACACCACCGTGCGGCTCCGCGCAGAAGCGGAGGAGACTCGCCGCCGCCTCGAGGCCGAGTACCAGTCTGCCGCTAGGTTCTACAAGCAGCAACTGGAGAACCAGTTCCAGCTCCTCATAAGCGACTACGAAGGCCAAGTCAAAGCCGGGTTGCAGCAGTTGCTTCAGCAACAGCAGCAGACTTTGTTCCAGCAGCAGCAGCAGCAGCAACACCAACAGCACAAGTGGTATTGAAGTGGTACCACCACTCCTCATTCCAGGATGTCTGGCGGTGGAAAGGACCCTGAGGAAGGCTTGGAGGAGGAACAGCGGGGGCAGGAGACGGGCCAGGATCAGATTCAGAGGCACGGAAATGAGCATGCGAGGGAGCAGGAAACGGAAGACGAGGATATGGAACAGGACAGCGAGGACAGGGAAGAGCATAACGAGGAAAGAGATGACAGTGAAGAAGATGACGAGCATGTTGACGCCAATACCGGCATAGGATCGGCAGGAGATATCGAAGAAGACTCTGACGGCTCCCGTACCTTGTCTCTTCATAGCAGCAATCAAGACCATGGGCACAGTCACCAAGACAACCCCGGCGACACTGCTGATGGTGACCCGCCAGCGTCGGCCGACAGCCCCGCCCTCGTCGAATCCCCTCCTCTCACCCCATCCTCGACCGTCGAGGTCTTCGAGGACAGCTTTGAAGATCAACTAGAGCGGCCCACGGCTTTGGCAGGCACCGCATCCGGCGAGCAGCCCGCAGTCGTCGACAGACTCGGGCGGGAGCTCGAGCTCGAGCGGACCGAGGCGCAGAAGCTACGGGTCTCGCTAGGCCAGCTCACCAGGGCCCACGAGGCGGTGACGAGCAAGATGACTAGGCTCAGATCCGAAAACGGGAAGCTGAGGGAGGACAACGCGGAGCTGCTGGCACTAAACGCGGAGGCCGGCGGGCCCGGGGCGGCCAACAAGGGCGACCCGGCATTGCGAGGCAGGCAGTCCATGACCCTAGAGCTCCAGCAGGACAACTGGAAGCTGGTAGCGCAGCAGCGCAGCCTGGCGGAGTACTCCGAGCTGGAGAACGACGAGCTCGAGAGGTCGGTCGGCGACCTGCGAAGCACGATCAGGGAAAAAGAGCAGCAGATCGACGCCCTCAAGCAGTTTGCCAATGAATCCCAGCACGGCGGCGGCCTCACCCAGATCATGGACCCAGCCGGAAGCGGGGAGGTCATCGGCATCGGCGAGGTGAGCCTCCGGTTCTCGCGGCAGCTGAGCCGGCTCACGCAGCTCGGGGTCCCAGACGCGCTCCTGGATGGGCCCGGTGGGCAGCACGAGGGGCTCATCAAGTCGCTGCTGCGCGACGATGACGCCCTGCACGACGCTTTCGACTACCCGACCGAGCACTACACGGTGGACGGGACCGCGGGGGGCCACCACCTCACCGCGGATCCCAAGGTCGTCCGGTTCCTCGTCGACATGGTCGAGCGCGAGGGCGACCCGGGCCCGGTGCGGGAGCTGTTCCAGTACCTCGAGGACGAGACCGACGAGGTCGGGCTCGCGGACCAGGTCTGGCAGCTCCTGGCCAAGCTCGTGGCGGTCAAGGAGGCCGAGGCGTCCGACTCCGGCAAGCAGCCGCTGGGAGACAACACCAGGCTGGTGGTCGAGCTCCGCGAGTCCCGGGCGGAACGCGACAGACTACAGGAGAAGCTCCGGAGGTTCAAGCGCGAGGCCATCTTCGTGGAAGACCTGAAGAAGATCGTCGCGGCCAACAAGCGGGGAGCAGAGACCGACGAGGGCCAGGATCCCACGGAAAGGAAGGCGGAGCTGGTGGACAGCGTCATCCACCAGCTCCAGGAGTTGGGTCGCACCGGCCAAGGATACCACATGTACAACTACCCCTCCTCATCTTCATCCGGATCCGACAAAAACGACACCGAGGAGCAGTTAGAGTACGAGCCGAGCCTGGAGCACGACCTGTACGCCGATGTGTTATGGGAACTCGAAGACGAACCCGACCACCTCCCGAGCATCGGGGAGCCGGGGCCCTCCTCCGTGCCGGCGGCGCCCTCCCGGCCCCGGCGCTCTACAACTATAGGCGGTGGCGACGCGACCCAGGCTCTACCGATGCCACCCACTAGCCACCCCCGCAAGCCCGCGAGAACGGGGTCGTTCTCGGCGGCCCGGTCTATACCGAGGCCGCCCACCAGCTACCCCAGCGAGCCCACGCAGGCGAGATCGTGGTCGGCGGCCCAGGAGGTGACGAGGCGGCGGCACGCCGGCAGCTTCGGCGGGCAGTTGAGGTCGGAATCCATGCCGGTGGACCAGGGGGCGGCGCCGGCGCCGGCGCGCAACATCCCCTTCGAAAACAGCAGGCTCCTGGCGCAGTACGCCGAGGTGGAGAGGTTAAAGCGGGTGCTGGGCGAGACTATTGCCAAGCATAGCTCATGCACCGAGGCCATCGACAAGCTCACGACGGAGCGCGACGCCGCCAACGACAAGGCCAAGGGGCTGGAGGGCCAGCTGGGCGAGCTGCGGGCCAGCCAGCAGAGAACCCCGGCGGCGGCGACGGCGCTCAGGAAAAAAAGTCCCTGGGTGCCGGTTCCGTGGTTCCTCGGCGGTGGCGGCCAGGCAGAGGTGGCGGTGGCGGAGCCCGACAGAGCCGCCGTGGATGATGATGACGACAACTATGACGGCGGCGAGGAGCCGTCGCTAGTCCAGAGCAAGGACCTCGCGGCGGAGCTAGCGAGACTGCAGACGGTCGTCGATGTGCTGATGCACGACAGCAAGCTGCCCAAGGCCGACGGCGAGAGCCTCCGCCGGAGCCTCGAGGCCGCCCAGGGCGCCGCGCGCGAGCTCAACGACACGGTCAGGAGGCTGGAGCGAGGCTCGCTGGCGTCGGCCGAGACCATCCGCGACCTGGAGCAGAAGCACTGGCGGGCCAACTCCAAGATCGACGAGCTGCAGCGGGTGCTCAACGACTCCATCTCCAAGGCCACGCACGACGAGTCCCGGAGCCAGTTGCAGGAGGCGCATAAGAAGATCACGCTGCTTCGGAGCGCCCGGGCGGAGCTGCGGGGCTCCAACTCGACGCTGCTCGACGCGTTCAGGCGAGCAGACGCCTCTAGCAGACACCTGACGCGCGAGATCGAGGAGCTTAGGGCCGAGGCCGAGGCACAGCTGGGCGAGGCGGCCAGGGAGAACGAGGACCTCGAGGCGCGCACCGAGCGGCTCAAGGCGCGGTACGAGACGCTCGGGCTGGTGGTGCAGGCCGCGGTGCAGGCCATGGGCGGGGATGTGGCGGTGGCGGACGATGATGACGGGCCCGGTGTCGAGGGCCAGTCGGCCGAGGACAGAGAGCACGTGCGCATCATCCTGGACCTGGAGCGGGCCATGCGGTCGCACCGGGCGCGCGTCAGCCTTGAGGGCCACGCCGGCGAGATCGCGAGGGCGCTCCGGGAGGCCCGCGAGGTGCACGCCGCGTGGCGCGTCAGGCTCAAGAGGCGGCGGCGGGGCCAGTGGCCGTTTGCGGGCGCCCCCACCGAGGCGGCGGCGGTGGACGAGATGCCGGGCGTGGCGACGGCGGACATGCAACGGACCTACGCCGAGAGGAAGACGGAGCTCGCCGCGGTCCTGTCGGGCCTGGGCCAGGTCAGGGCCGAACTGGGCAGGGCCGGGGTCGAGGTGGCCAAGGACGCGTCGCCGGGGCCCTGGCGCCTCCGCGTCCCCAGCATGCTCTGCCACTCCTGCGAGACGCAGGCGGCACGGTCTCGGCTGGAGGGGACGGCGTGGCCGGCGTTGGTCCTCATCCTGATGAGGCCCTTTTTCAGTGTCTGGGTGGTCGCCCTGTGGCTGCTAGGCGTTGCGACGTGGTTCTACCAGGCGGCATCTCGCATGTCCGGCAGGCTCGTCACTTCCCTCGTCGACCGGGTATGGGTTTGGGAGGAACTGCGGGACGGCAAGGCTGCGAATGGGGAAGAACAGAACAACGACAAGGCCAACGCTACGAGCCCATCAACATCACCCACTACTCGGAACGAGGAGCGGCCGGATAACGAGACTGTAGCCGGAGAAGAACGGCGCAGCATCGATTACAGTACTACGAGCTCATTAGCACCACCAGGCACGGTTGCGGCGTTCCCGGCGGTGCCACGGGTGGAAATCGTGGAGACGGCCGTCTTCATCTTACTAGTCCTGGTCTGCCTATTCTACTTTGCCCTAAGCCAAGAGCGACAACTCTGGCTGGGCGCCAATGGGGCGGCAATGAGGCGGGCGTACATCAACGAAATCCGGAGCCGTGGGGACGCAGTGTACGTGACCTGGACACCGTTCCTCAAGATCGACTTTCGGCCCTTATACGAGCCTTGGCTGGGAGATACGGTCGAGTGGCTCTCCGATACCGTGACAAGGGCTGTTGACGGTATTTGGATGGCGCCGGCAGTCGCCAGCAACACGATCCAGTGGTCCACCGGTGCGGTGGGAAGGACAATCAGCGGCGTTTGGGAAACGCTGGCAATGGCGTCAAGTCACACGATCCAGTATTTTGCCGGTGCTGCGGAGAGAGCGGTTAGTGGTGTTTCGAGGATGGCGGCAGTTACCAGCAACACGGTCCTGTGGTTCGCCAACACCGCGGGAAGGGCGATCCTTAGTGTCCGGAAGAGGAGTACCGGGCTTCCGGCGAGGATGGTGGCAGTTCCCTGGTTGAACAATACGACCGAGTGGTTGTCTGGCGCCTGGGAGAGGGTTCAGGGGCTGCTAGCTTTCTCCTGGAGGATGATCGCGGCCACGGGGTTGTGGTTGATGAAATCGATTACGTGGCAATTTGGCACTGCGAGAGCCGCTTGGGGGCGGCTCGGAGATGGGACAGAGTGGTTACTCGACGATTTTTGGGCGAATATTGGTGGTGCTTTGGGATGGTTGTTCACTGTGTTGAAGAGGATGGCTTTCTTCTATGCCTTGGGCGTTATCTGGATCCGGTTGATGAGGCGAGACTAAGCTGTCGCCTTTTCCCGGCTTGGTGTCACTTGTCTGCTTCTTTCTCGACTTGTTTTTTTTCCTTCAAGTTATTTCTCATTCGGTTGTTACAAATGCCTTGCCATACCCGTGTTTCTAGTTGTCATGACGTGCAAGACTCCAATGCCGTGATCTGACTGAGCGATCTGCGGGGTTTGTGGATCATATGGGATTTGCCAAACAACCAAGCCCAAGCTGGATTTCGCAGTGCCTGGACGATGGGAAGCTTGACTGCACGCATTTGAACCGCCCCATTTCCACACCGACTGCGTCTGTGGACTCCTGCTGAGGCTGGAAAGAAGCGGTGCGTGTCCACAGCGTGACGGGCTGAGCCGGTTCAAAACAATGACGCAGGTGAAGGACAGACCCACTGCCATGCATGGCCAGGGATGGATATTGATTGTGTCAACAGTCCAACAGGGATGATACTTGCAGCCGTTTACACGTTTACACAGTGATCCAAGGCGGGCTTGGAGACCCGAAGACCCGAGAGAAACACGACAGAGAGAGGATTAGTGGTAGGCAAGCAAAGCTGACTGCAGACCCTTGGAAATCCTTCGCCCAAAAGAAAATTCTCTAGCTTACCGGTTTTCCCAGGAGCAAGTTGTCGGTTCAGGCAGGTCGGTGGGCAAGTATCACATGGAGGCGGGCGGTTTGCAGCTGTTGGCTGGGGCTTCTTGGCTCCGTGGGTGCTGTGCCCCATGTGGGGCCGCCTCTTCCGCTGGGTGCGCCAATTTTTGGGTTTGCCATGGAGGATAGGCAAAGGCTAGGAAATGGCACAGGTCAGTTACACGAGCGGACAGCAATGATGGTTTGTCGTCATAATAATGAACATTCTTAATCCCAGGTCGCAGTGCCAAACTCTCACGATGCCAAACTAAGCTTCGTCCCATTCCCCGATGAGAAGTGCGGCTAAACCAGCCATCCTGGGAAAGCCCGCATAGTGAACAGAGGGACCCCTCTTTTTGATCCCCATCTCCTGCTCGAAGCGCCGGCCCCTCCTCTCTTGTGTGTGCCTCCATGTAGCAATCCGGCCCGTCTGGCGTTATCGGCGTGGAGCAGGGCGTCGGCTCGGGTGGCTGTGCCTGCAAGACTTGTGCAGGCCTTGGCGGGGGGCCCATGGATCCCACGGCGAAACCCCGCGCCGGCGGAACTTTTGAGAAAACCGGAAGCTCGGGTTTGGCCATGGCGGAAGAGGAGGAGAAAGGTGGTGGTGGTGGGCGCTGGCGGGTGAGTGGTGCGCGCATAGCAGCCCCGAAAGGCAAGGGGTGCTATTTCCGGGCCCTTCACAAATCCACACCATCATACCAAGACCTGTACGCGCGGGCCGGGCTTGCTGCTGTCTGGTCCCCTGCGGGCAAATGATAGCCCCCTGGCCTCGACTCGCACTGCATCATGGATTCCCGCCTGCCCAGTCCCCCTGGCCGGCCCAGACTGCCGCTGAGGAGGCCGCCCCAGCTGGCATACATCATATCTCGTGCCAACCTGCCCGGGGCTTACTAGCACTGCTGGGTACCTCGGGGATGTGCGCATCTCGCACTGCTATGCTTGCTTACCTGCAGGTCGTGTGTCGCAGGTTATTGGACACACTTTAACCTCAGGAACTACCTACCATCCTCACCGACCAGGTACATATGTGTGTGGCAGCCCGCACCCGTCTAGCTAGTTCCTCAGTCCGGCTACTCACCCGTACTCGTCCCAGCCCAATCAATCCCAAGTCCCTCCCTCCCTCCCGGACCTGCTTCTGGTCTCGTCCTCGCCCTCGATCGGCCCAGTTTGGTTGCTGGTCTGGTGCTCGAATGCCCATTTGAGAAAGGTGCGGTTCGCTGCCCAAGACACCGTTGCGCACGTGTGCCATCGCACCGCATCCTTTGTAGCTCGCCATCTGCACTTTTGTACTTGTCTTCGCGACTCCCGCCCGGGTTCGACAGCGCATCTATCCTTTACATACACACACAAACACGCACACACACACACACACACACACACACACACACACTCTCTCTCTCTCTCTCTCTCTCTCTTTCTAGCGAACACGCACACACACACGAGCACGTCTAGGCGATCTCGACTGTCTCGAACTGACGCGTGACACACAATATTGCACTTTGTCTCTGACAGTCCGGTCTCAGCCACGACTATCCCGTTGGCGCCGTCTCTGCTTTTAAAACGAACCACCTAACAGTTTCCGCACCATCCCCCGACCTACCGTCTTCTAGGACCGACATGGTCGGGCTGCGGGAAAGAACTGTTCCATAACAAAGTCTCCTGCTCTTCCACCCAACACACTGCTTCCTTCTCACTCTTTCTCTCTACGCAAGCCCCGCCGGCATAGCATACACCGGCGACAGGCTAAATCCCGCAGCCATCTTCACAATGCCTACTGCCATGCAACATCACCAGAGCGGCCCTCGCGTCGTCGTCTCGAGCAACATGGATGGTCTGAGTGTCGAAGACTTTGAGACCGCTTCCATCCGCTCAGCAGCTCCGTCATATGGTTAGTCCCCCCACCCCTGTCGGCCTTCCCGACAGGAGCGCGGAGCCGGGGCTCGGGGCCTCGAGCTTCTGATCCCTCTCCGACGGCGGCTCTAACACGCCCTACCCCCAACCGCAGTCTCAGACGTCCCGTCCTACCACTCTGCACTCCCGCACAACGAGCCGACCCCTCCATACTCGCCGCCCGAGCGGCCCCTCGCCTCGAGCCGGCACCAGCACGGCTCCTCCCCGACCAGCCTTCTCGCCCCCGCCGACTCCAACTCTGCGCCGTCGGTGGGCCTGCCCCCAGTTCCGCCCGCGCCGCCCCGCGTGGGCGTCGGCATGGGCATGGGCATGGGCGGCATGGGCATGGGCATGATGGGCCTGGCCGCGGGGCCGGCCCCGGTCGAGCTGTCGGCCTTCCGCCTGCCCTGGTCCTCGAGCCTGCGCTCAAACAACCCGGCCACGCGCCACTACCGCAACGTGGCCCACCGCCGCGCCAGCGCCGCCGTCGCCGACGGCTCCGCCTCCGCCGCCCGCGCCAGGCCCTCGGCCTCCGCCGCCGCCCTCGCAGAGATGGAGAGCGCCGACGCGGAGGAGCGGTCGCGCCTCCGCCCGCTCGAGGACCCGTACCTGGTTGGTGAGGAGGCCGCGCGCAAGGCCAGGGCCGAGAGGCTGGCGAGGGAGAACGGGGACTCGATCCTGCAGATGGAGGACAGGCGGTGGGATCTTTTTCTGGGTGAGTTGAGGCAGCACCTTTGTCTTCTTTTGTTCCGTCCTGGCCGCCATGTCGCATGGGTCAGCCTGGGACATGACTCTCAGCATCGAGCCGTCGAATCGTCCTCTAGCTAGTACTCCGCTAACGTCTGACGTCGACACCTGCAGCGCAAATGAGAACCTGGGACGGAGGCAACCGACGACGAGGAGCCGTCGCGAGGCGCATGGGCATGCGCTAAATCCCCCCAACAAGCACATTGTTTGTCGGGTCGAGTTTTCTGTTGTCGTTTTCTTGCTCTCCTTCCTTCCGCTACCGCTCATCTGTGTGAAGCCCTCACAGCATATGCATTTTCAGGGCACTGGACTAGGGTGTTTTGTTTTCCTTTTGGCTTTTCTTTTGCATTGGGTTTCGGCCAGGGCTACTCAGACATGTGCCCGATAGGGGGCCGCGTCCCGCTCCTTTCTTGGGAGGAATGTCCATGTTGGAACATGATGGTTTGATGATAGCGACGCAGCATATGGGCATTTCTGAATACAAACAAGCATGTTTCTTGAAACGGTACAGCTCCCAACTGTTCTCCCTAGATGGAAATCTTTTGCCGGTTAGCGCAGGTCCAAAGGTTGGGGTCGCAGGTGACCCAGCTGGCGGCGTGCGATGTGACATCCCACGAATTGTTCGAGAGTCGCAAGCTGGCCGACAACAGCGCGTCAAGGTGCAATACCATGATTGAATCCAAACCAAAAAGATGAACGTCTATCTACACGACAAATATGGAGATAGTAGCTGAATATTCCGAATAACGCCTGGCCGCATGCTTGGTCGACAGTTGTACAGTTTCGCCTCCATGTCTCCAGAGACCTTGGTTCTCCCCGTCCTCATACTTCCCTCATTGTTCCAGGGTGACAAGGCACCCATTTGGTACCGATATTGTCTGTGTCTGCCTGTGTTGGATTGCATGTCGTGGGCAGATTTAGCCGTTGGTCTTGCTGTTGAGGATGAGGGCAACAATAAGCCTGGTTCCCGAAACATCTCCGTTAGCCATCCGAGCTGCGTGTGCGGGTCTTGATGCGAGAAAGCCCAAGGTAAGACGGCTTACCCGTAGAGCCCCAGGACCTCGCCGAAAATGAGAATGAGGACCATGCCGACAAAGACCCTGGACTGCTCCATGTATGCCCTGACGCCCTTGTCACCGACGATGCCGATGCAGTATCCGGCTGCGAGGCCAGTGAGGCCGACCGAGAGCCCACAGGCCAGGTGCAGGAAGCCCGTGTACAGCGAGTATGTGGATGCAGGGGGTGGCGAAAGGTCCTGTGCGATAAGGACCGACACAACGAGCGAGTAGACTGCGATGATACCACTCATGATGACCGGGATCAGGCACTGTTTACCACATGTTCGGGGCAGAACGTCAGCGATGGAGCCTCCTTTGCAAACCAGCCAGGACGAGGCGAAGTCAAGTGCAGTCGGTTCCTAACCTTCATAATCAGGTCTGGCCTGAAGGTGCCGACGCCAGCGATGCCGATGCCCGACTTGGCAGTTCCGTACGCTGCTCCGGCGCCTGTAGAATTCGACAATCCAGCATCCTCGTCAGCAATCCGCATCCGTCGTCGCAGCGCGTCATTCGCTTGTCAGGTCGGGGTTGTGTCGCCGTCGAAAAGGCCGAGGGTCGTCGCGTGTCGCATGAACATACATCCAAATATCATCGAGGCCGCGATGCCGGCCTAGGACAAGCAGGAACAACGTCAGCATCTCGACCTATTCATTTCGGCGTGAGTTCAAATGGGAGGACGGGGGCATACCATGCCGACAAAGGGCGCGAATTTGGGCGCGAGCTCCGAGTCTGGTTGAAGCGACATGGTGGTGGTTGCGATGGAGATTCGGCGCAGCAAGACTCTGGATGGGAGCTGCTAACGCGGCTTTGGCGATGGTAGACGTCGACAAGTGTCGCAGGCTGCAGCGAGGGTGTTCCAATTGATGGCAGAACCCGACTAGCCCCCCTGTTGCATCACGTGACTCTCTTCATTCATACGGAGCGAGCGCCAGACAAGGACAGACACAAATGAAGTCGCGACGGCTTGGTTTACGGTGAGTAATATCTACTACTATCACCTCTAAGCCTCTGGCCTTTTCATAAGCCTTTATAATTCACATCTTTATGTTTTGGTGTTGCCCAGCGTGGGCGCAGTGGTTTCCACTACAGTGCGGCTGCGTGGTGGTTGCTGGCATCGAAACACGCCAAATGTTGCCTCCAATTGCCGGCGGCATCAGCACACGACTGGGCGGTGTGGCTGATATTGATGGATGCCACCAAGCCCCCACACCTAGCCAAGCGGCTGCAAAACTCGGTGGCCGGGAGCGGGCTTGCTCACCAAAGATAGAGGGCATGAAGCATGAAGGCGGTGATGTGCACGCAGAAGGAGGACGTCTAGACCATCTGCGACAGCCTGAATCCATCTGAAGTGTGCAGAGGCAGCCCAGCCTGCACGACAAAGTGGGCTTCCCGGGCACTAGCGCACATCTCGCGGCACCGCCTGGGTCCTTGGGGCGGGTACAGCTCACAAATCCCCAGTGAGCGGCCCCGGCCATTCCCCAGCAAGCAACACATGGAATCATCCAGGCTGCAAATAACGTCACACCTGAACTGTCTGCTACACCTCTGTAGAGGGAGGGAGAAGATTGACGTGCAGAACAAAGGGAGAATACAAGCCCAAAGCCAAAACAGCTCGTCGGGAGTAGAAAGGTGGAAGGTCAAACAACAAGCCAGAAAAAACGACTGATGCGGTCTTGATTCGTACCGCGCACGCGCACACACCCAAATCATACGTCTGGTCGGGGTTCCTCTTCATTATTTCTTCCCCTTTCCTTTATTCTCCGCCACCCTCCCCTCTCGCACCTTCTGGTCCAACTTGGTATATCTACCATTGTTCGGGGGCGTTTGATTTGTTTGCATTTCTACCCGACCTGGCGGCTTAAATGACCACGGCCTAGACAGGTCCGCCGCTACGTCGAGGAGGCGCCAATTCTGCCACCATTTCTTATCTTGCCGTTGTAGTTGGTGGTGAATCGCTAGGCTGGGTGGTGAGTGCTTTTTTTTTTTTTAGCCGTTGTGGCTCGCCGCGACACCTGAACGCACCGACACCCGCCAACTCCCACGCCCACGCCCTCGATCGTCGTCGTCGGCAACCCATAACCCATCTCCCCCTTCATCAAGCCGCGTTCGAGCAGCTGGTAATGACTTTGCCCCCATCGCAGTAGTCGACGGCAACATGGCAGATTACCAGCAGCAACAGCAGCAGCAGCAGGGCCAACAACGCCGCTCCGACCAGCGCTCGCCGCCCCAAAACTATGGCCACTCGTCAGACTTCCAGCGGGAGACCGCCTTCAATAACATTTTTGGCGCTGCCCCCGGCCCCGGCCGCTCACACACCATGACATCGTCGTCGATGCCCCCGCCCGAGCTGATGATGCAGCACCAACAGCAGCAACAGCAGGGCCGCACCCACACCATGGGAGGCTCCATGCAGCGTCCCCCGCCCTCGAGGCATCCCCAGGGCGCCGGGCCCTACGGTGAGCCGCCATACCCCCCGAGAAACAGGCCAATCGACGACCGTGGCATGCAGGGCGGCTACTATCCGGGCCCCCAGCAGCGGCCCCCGTCCTCGGGCCACCAGGTCCCATCGCCCCAGGCCCAATACCTCCAGCAGCAGCAGCAGGCGCGCCGCTACCCCGGCCAGCCCGGCCAGCCCGGCCAGCCTCCTCGTTTCGACTCGCGGCCCCCGCCTCCCCGGGACGGCTATGGCAACATGCGGCCCCCGGCACCGCGAGGATACTATCCGGGAGGCGGCCAGCCCGGCCCGGCCATGAACTCAGATCCCTACCGAACTCAGTCCCTCGCGAGTGCCCCGAGGCAGCCCGTCTACCACCCGCCCCCGAGTGCATATCAACAAGGCCTCCACAACAACTTTCGCCAGAGTCCCCCCGGCCAGCCGCCGAATAATGGGCCCTCGGCCCGGACGACGGCGCAAGGCCGCGTCGTTCCAGACCGACATGACGACCGCTCCATGTCCATGACGGGCGGCTATCCGTCACACGAGAGAGACGCCCACCAGACCATGAGCGGCCGCGTGATCCCGAACCGCAGGGTGCCTGGCACCGCCCCTCAGCTTCCCGAGCTGCCCATCTCCAACGGATTTTCCAACGGCTACTCGGCTGCACCGGGCTCGCAAACGAGGACAACCAGCATGGTCTCTTCCACCAGCACAAACGACAGCCAGCAGAGGACCATGTCGATGGCGTCGACCGCCGCCCCGTCCATCGCCCCGTCCGAGTTGTCGGAATCCAACACCCTCGTCAACCGCTCCTCCATGGCCCGATCCACCGATGGCGAGCGCCCCTCGACGGCCAGGGTCCGCCCGCCGCTGGTCTACCCTGCGCTGCTGTCGCGAGTCGCCGAATGCTTCCGCCAGAAGATCATTGTCGGCGATAAGACCAAGAACGGTCTCACGTACAAGAACGCCTTCACCGGCGCCGATGCTGTCGATGTTCTCTCGTACATCATCCGCACCACCGACCGCAACCTGGCCCTGCTTCTCGGCCGCGCCCTCGACGCACAAAAATTCTTCCACGATGTTACGTATGAGCACAGGTTGCGGGACTCCAACACGGAAATGTACCAGTTCAAGGAGACCATGACCGAGGAAGAGGAGGAGAAGCCGGGGGTCGACGGCGTGTTCGTATTGCTGTCGGAGTGCTACTCGCCAACCTGCACCCGTGACCAGCTCTGCTACAGCATAGCGTGCCCTCGCCGGCTCGAACAGGTATCCAGGCTGAACCTGAGGCTGGGCCCCGGCCTCAGGGACGAGGGCGCCGCCGTGCACGAGGATGATGTTGAGCAGACGGACGAGCAGAAGCTCTGGATCAACACGGTGCCAAAGGAGATTGCCGACAGCGTGGGCGACAGGGAGAAGAAGCGGCAGGAGGTCATATCGGAGATTTGCTACACCGAGAGGGACTTTGTCAAGGATCTCGAGTATCTGCGCGACTTTTGGATCAACCCGCTGCGGTCTAGGAACTCGCCCATCCCGCAGAACCGCAAGGACCGGGTGGTGCGTAACATTTTCAGCAACATCATCGACCACCCGTCCATCCACAGCGTCAGCTCGCGCTTCGCAAAGTCCCTCACGGACCGCCAGCAGAAGAACCCGGTCGTGCACAACGTGGGCGACATCTTCCGCGAATTTGTCCCCCAGTTCGAGCCCTTCATTCTCTACGGCGCCAAGCAGCTCGAGGCCAAGTTCGAATTCGAGAACGAGAGGTCAACAAACCAACAGTTCTCCCGCTTTGTTGACGAGATCGAGAGGCGCAAGGAGTCACGCAAGCTCGAGCTCAACGGCTATCTGACCAAGCCGACCACGCGCCTGGCCCGGTACCCGCTGCTGCTCGAGAACGTGCTCAAGTACACCGAGGCCGACAACCCAGACAAGGAGGACATCCCCAAGGTGTTGACCCTCATCCGAGCTCTTCTGACGAGGGTCAATGCCGAGTCGGGCAAGGCCGAGAACAGGTTCAACCTCAGGCGCCTCAGCGAGAACCTCAAATTCCGGCCCAACGAGAGGGTGGACCTGCGGCTCACCGAGGAGGGCCGCGAGCTCGTGTTCAAGACGCAGCTGAAGAAGACGCTGACGGAAAACGCCGACATGACTGCCTTCCTGTTCGATCACGCCGTGCTCATCGCCCGCACGAAGCAGGTCGGAAGGACCGAGGAGACCAAGGCGTACCGCAGGGTCTGTTGCGCCCCGCACCCGCCGCATGGCATCCCCGTGACACAAATTGTATATCCTCGAGTTAAGCGGCTAACAGATATTGAGCCCTGCAGCCGATCCCTCTCGAGCTCCTTTCCATCAAGGAGATGGAGGAGGTCATCCCGCACGGGACCCAGGTCAGGCGGACGTCGTCCAGCCTGCTCCCGCTCCGGGCAGCCGCGTCGGACACAAAGAAGGGCGACGGATGGCCCATCACGTTCCGACACCTGGGTAAGGCGGGCTACGAGCTGACGCTTTATGCCCAGAACCAAGTGGCTCGACAGAAGTGGCTCGAGTTCATCGATGCGGCCCAACAGCGGCTCAGGGGCCGTGCCGACTTCCTGAACATGACCACCATCTCGGCTGGGTTCTTTGGCCCGTCCAACAAGGTCAACTGTGTTGTGCCGTTTGGTGAGTAATTACAAGACGCCAACGTCTGGGGTGATCTCGAAAGCACGCACGCATACTGACGCATTCGACCATGGCAGACGGTGGGAGGAAACTGGTGTACGGAACGGACACGGGAATCTACATCTCGGACCGAAAGTCCAAGGAGTCGAATCCGAAGCAGGTCATCAACACAACCAACGTCACGCAGCTCGACGTGCTCGAGGAGTACCAGCTGCTACTGGTTCTTACCAGCAAAACGCTGTACAGCTTCCCGCTATCGGCACTGGACCCGCTGGAGCCGCCGTCATCCAAGAAGGGCAAGAAGATCCAGAGTTCGTGCCACTTCTTCAGGGTGGGCATCTGCCTGGGGCGGCACCTCGTCTGCTGCGTCAAGCCGACGGCGCTGTCGACGACCATCAAGGTGTACGAGCCCAACGATGCCATATCGGCGACGCGGCGGCAGAGGGGGCTGGGCAGGATGTTCAACGCCGGCCAGGACGAGCTCAAGCCGTTCAAGGAGTTTTACATCCCGACTGAGTCGTACTCTGTGCACTTCCTGCGCTCTAAGCTGTGCGTGGCCTGCTCACGCGGGTTCGAGGTGGTGGCGCTCGAGACGCTCGAGACGCAGTCGCTCCTAGACCAGGCCGACACATCGCTCGACTTTGTGGCGCGAAAGGAGGGCGTGGTGCGGCCAATCCACATCGAGCGGCTCAACGGCGAGTTCCTGCTCAACTACTCGGAGTTCTCCTTCTTTGTTAACCGCAACGGGTGGCGCGCGAGGCCCGAGTGGCGCATCGACTGGGAGGGCACGCCCCAGAGCTTTGCCTTGTCGTACCCCTGGATCCTTGCCTTCGAGCCCAACTTTATCGAGCTACGGCATATCGACTCGGGAGCCGTTCATATCGTGCCGCACAAGAACATACGGATGCTCCACAGCAGCACACACGAGGTAAGCACCCTTTTCAGCCGCTGACGTAGGTGTGCTGGCGGCAATGGCGCTAATTGAAAAAAAAAAACAGATCATTTTTGCATACGAGGACGAGAAGGGAGAGGATATTGTGGAGGCCATGGACTTTTGGAAGAGCCAGCGGCGGTCGGAGATACCCGATGCCACAGAAGAGAGGCCACCGACGGCGTCGTCGACATCTGGGACCATACCAGGCTACCACCCCAGGATGTCGACGTAGGGCTGGCGAGGACGCTTGAAGGAGGTAAATGGACATTGGTCTTCTTGGTTCTGTTCCTTGTTTCCTCTCGCCTGCGCTTCTTCCGCATCGCTCCCCTTTGATCACCACCGGCGGGGTTATTGGGGCCGGTTCCTTGGTAGCCATGAAACCCTAATGTCTCCTTTCCTCTTCTGTAAGCATCTTGTTCTCGCCCGGTTCCATCGTCATGTCTGCCTTTTTTATTCTCGTTTTTTTCTTTTTTCACCTGTTTATCTCGTTTTTATTTTGTTGCACTTAGCCTGGCGGACGGGACATTTTGCGCTGCTCTTGTCCTTGTGTTTTTTTGCTTGATGGTTTTCCGACTTCCAGACATCAAAGGTTTGCACAAACGGCGGCGTTTTTTTCTTCTTGCAATTTTGGCTCTTCATCTTGTGTGTTGGTACAGGGCCTCTCCCTCCTCGCCTCCCGGTCAAGAGAGGCAGTAGTATGAAAGCCGGGGAGGTTGAGAAGAGTGGCAATAGAATGGACCGGGTGAAGATGAGAGAGAAAGAGAGATAGTATGCGTATTTCGGGAAGCGGAGGTGGCTGATTCCGTTAGATGGTTTTGGATGGGACTTTCTATTACTTTAACACGGCTTGTATCCACGCCCCTGGCTGCCCACGTTTTTGTGATGTTTCTCCATGTCATCTAACCGCCCCCCTTTCAACGAAGGTCATGTCCGCTCAGCTCGCGTTTGGCAATCTTGGTTTGATTGCCTTTGTGAGACCTGGCGTGGTGCCGTTTCTTTGGTGTCGGTGTTGACGGCCATGGTCAGCGAACGATCGGGCGATCCTTGGACACGTCTAGTCTCTGGCAGACTGAGGCCCGACTCCTGATATATATCCCCCGGGCTAGGGCCACCGAGAAGGCCGTTTCACGCGCCCAGGTTCGCGTGAACAAAGTAGCAAGAGACCACACGTGTGCAGGCGCCAGGTCCCCTCCCCCCCTTTTTTTTTTTTGGCCTCGCCATTTGGCTAAAATACGCGCTACTGGGCTTGCTCTACGGGCACCGACCGGACAGCGCGCCAGCCGATTTCGGTAAGCGGTGAAGTGGACAATGGCGCTCGCCGCCGCCTAGGTGCCTAAGTAGGCAGGTGGGCACATGGGTAGGTAGCCTTTCGGTGTGTCGCGTGCTTTGCGTGCGTGTGCGGCCGGGCTGGGGTGGCCGACTATGGCGTGGAACCTTCTCTTCTTTCACTTTTGCGAAGCAGTCTGTGCGTCTGTTATTAGCTACCCAGATACCTGTGTACGTGCATAGCAGAACAGTCAGGCCCTTTTTTTTTTGCTCAGGGCCAAGGACACGGAATATCAGACTCCCCCTGGGAAGGATGGGTACAGGGCAATCGTCGATCTCCAAAGCTGATGGGTGAGCCCACAGACGTGGGCATAGACATAAGGGCCTTTTTTTTCTTTTACATGATTGCTATGTACTGTCATGTTTGTTGCATGTTGGGATGAGAAGCAGAGCCGCGCGTCTCACACCGAACGACCGGTAGGTAAACAGACTTGGCTCGGTTCGGCGTTTTAGCCGCACCTGTCTTGGATCCGCGCCCCCTTCTAGCCGTGAACACCAAGAGGTTCTGTTTTTTTGGGGGGGGGTTTTTTCGGTTGCGCACGCCCCGAGAGTCGATAACGCCAAAACGGAGATGGCCGGGCTGAACTGACTGATTGGCAGGCATAAAGAAACAGTGGAGTTTGGCTGCTCGGGTTTTGGCTGACCGATGCACTGTTTATTAATATCCTGTCGCGGCGGTCTCGACTTTCCAGGTCTCGACCGACGCCGCGTGCCTCATCAGACTTTGAGCACGGAGAAGAGAGGAGAGTTCTCATGGCCCCGAAACAAGAGGCGTCGTCCGGTTGCGACCAGTCGAACTCGTCTTTGCCTGGTGGGGGGGATGGACCCTGAAACCTGGCAGCGGGCTGCGTGAGCTTTGAGTGGCTCCAGCGGGAGGTGTGTGTGAATACTGTGTGGGAGAGCGAGGCCGCGGCCAAGACCATCGATGGTCTGCCCCACCAAGCTCTGTATGTACTCACAGAGCGTTATGATATGTGATCAAGCCTTCCCATAGGTAGCCTGTATGTACTGTGGCGACTAGCGAGCGTGCGAGCGTGCCGCCCATGATGATAATGTCATGACCCCATGTCCTGGCAGGCCAGAGGCCGCCGGGACAAGTGCAACGACAAGTTGATTTGATCACCGTCGCGGAAACAAACCAGTAGTTTTTTAGCGCGAAACGACAAGGGCCAGAGGGCCGGTTCGATGGCAGATCAGATCCAGCCAGGCCCGGCGGCCTCTGCACGGGAATGACAAGGAGACGGAGGACGCGTTGGACGTCCCAGCCTTCTGGGTTCCTCTCTCTCGCTCCCTCTTAGCTCGGACGCATCGACTTGGCCAAGCCAGATTTCCCTTTCCGGATCGTTTCGTGTTTCCCCATCCTCAGATTCGATAGGTTTGGGAATCGGAAAGGGTCGGGATCTAGACGCATGCAAGCCCGGCAGTTCCGCTCTGTCTGCCTGGCGATTTCTTTTTTTCTTTACCTGTCTATTTCCTTGATACGGTGAAAGTCATGGGCCGTTTTCGTGGTGCATGGGCAAAAGTGGCTTGCAGATGAATGATAGTCGGGCATCGCCAGCCTGCATTGTCCCATCGATGCGAGCCCCCCTGCCCCTCTCTTTAGTCGATCGGGCAATGGTTTTTCCCCACACCACCCACACAGTGTCACAAACGGGCCTGCCTATTTTCTTATTTGCATCCCATTTCTGCAGCAGGCAGTCCTCTTCGCAGAAAAAGCATAAACCACAAACCACAAACCACCCGGCCAAGACCACGATGGAGGGTGGCCCGGCATGACGCGGCGCACTTTGGCCGTTGACCGGTGTTGGATTCGTGGCTAGCCGCGAGCGGGCGGAGGAGGTTGTGGTGGGTAGCATTCGGCATTGAACCATTTTGCCATCCATCCTGCCCGACCTACCCTCGACCCTGTGCTCCAGCTTCACCCCTCCGTCATGGGGGAGGGCTGGGAGGCTATTCGCCTGCGTAGATGCACGTCTTTGGGGCCGCACAGCAAAAGACGCAGCCCCCAACAATGAGCAACCGACGGTGGACAATGAGTCGGGTGCCGACCATGGTGGTGCATGGACCTACCCAGCACTGGACTACCCGCACTGGGCTCGAAGCGTCGGCATATGGCGGCATAGCCGTGGGATGCGGTACACTTACATGGACACCACAGTCCATCCCAGTGCACAAGTGCTCGGTTCTGTGCTTCTCTGGTGCGTGCCAACCAGCCAGCCCGAAAACGAGAAAGCCCTCCCCCCGGTTCCCACAGACCTGGGTTAGACATGCCGACCGGTCGTCCCCAGAATGTGCGACCAATGGCGAGATCGAGCTAGGGGATTGTTTCTCCTTTCTTGTTTTGCTTTGCTTTTTCTGCTTATGTTGTGCTGCCCGCTGTCGTGTTACTGTTTATCTGTCGGGCTGGCTTCTGCACCTGGGGAGAGATGGACAGAGATGTGGCTGCAGTCAGCGCCAGGGAGTTCCTGGGGTGTTAGTTCGGATCACGGCAAACGCCACAAACGGCCGCCCTCGCCGTCCTTTCTGGTCAGGTCGGCAATACTGTCCTCGACGGACATGTCCTCGGCTGCCCTCCCCTCTGTTCGTTGAGACACAAGTGGACACTGCCAGCCCCTGCCGTCTCCCCTTTTCCGACAAAATCGGCGATCGATCCGTTTCCTGGCGTGTTTACTGGCCGAGACGGGGGAGTGGGCGGATTTCATGTTGGCGGTGCAAAAACCGGGGCTGCCCTGCGCGGTCGGCGGCCTGAACCGACTGCTTCAGTCCGTCTGCCTCAGTCCGTCGTCCTCTAGCCTGCGCGTTTGCAAAGTGCCTGGCGGCCATCCATCCAAGATTAAGGTTTGCGGCTTTGCCCCGGCGGTGAGCGCATTCAAGTGCTTTGTCTGATTGTCGACCGGCCATGGTTTTCCTTTTGTGTGGTCTTGGTCTCGCACTTGCAGCAGCAATAAGCGAGAACAAACGCCGCCCAGCCCAACCCCACTCAACGTGCCGCCCACCACCCCCCAAATCCGGGCTAGAAGAGTCTTTTTTTCAGCTTGCAATTACCAGACAGGACGTCTAGGACAGCCAGCCAGTCAGCCGCGTGCTTCCCAGCCAGGAACGTCACTTCCACTTCCAGCCGACACCGCCAAGACCACACACCCCACCAGGTACACACACAGGCAGGCACACAGACAGGCACACACACAACCCCACACCTACCCACCAACCCACATCGCACCTCCCACCTCCCACATAGCTGCCCATAGAGGGGAAGGAAAAGCCCTACACCACACAGGTACCTACCAGGTACGCACATAGCAGCTAGAGCCGACGAGGGGCGAGATGGAGGGGAGGGAGGGGCTGCTGCGGCATCGTGTCTGCAGGGAGCAGGCCCACTAGCCATTGCCTTAGCCAACAAAACAAAAAAGACCCTGCGCCAAGCATCGCATCTGCCTCCCCAACCAAGGTAGCCCCGGCAGAGGTGGAGGTAAAGGGCGAGGGAGAGTGAGGGGCGTGTGTCTAGGAGGCGGCAGGAGCCAACCTAGGGGAGCAGCTCAACAGGGTTTGTGCTTGGACGTGTGCATCGTGCTTGCTGCTGCTACTGCTGCTGCCGTCTTTGTCTGTACCTAAAGGAGCAAGCACAGCACAGAGCTCTCTCGACGAAAGCAGCCCAACCGAGCTCGCACTGATTAGGCAGGGAGCCATCCATGGACGTCTTGCATGGCCGTGGTTACATGTCCGAACTTGCACTTATCTCTTGTTTTCCTCGGCCTTTATTCCATTTTATCTGTGCCTTCTTTATCTCGCCCGCGTCCAGCAGCAATCTCCCAAAAGATAAAAGGCCGTCGTATCTCCTCCCGATCTCGTTCCATCTTCTAGCCTGCCTCGTCACGAATCCGTCCCACCACCTCCTCCATCCCTCCCCCTTGTGCCGACCTCGATATCGGGCGATACCAAGAGCCACCCATCATCCATCATCCATCTTTTATATATACCACCCACCTCGCAACCCTGTGCAGGCCACGCTTCTTCCACCACCAACAGCCTCCTACCTCCTTGGATACCTGCCCTACACCTCGCTTGCTTCATAGCTACCTACTTCTATTTATTGTACTATACCCACTCACATTCACAATGGCTTGCTACTGTGCAAACTTCTATGTAAGATCCCCGCCGTCGTCCCGGCCCAGGACTGCTACAAGACTCCCTAGACTAACCACGAACCTCTACCGAAAAAGGGCAGCGTCAACTGCCACAACCAAGTCTCCAGGTTTGGCGACAGGTGTAAGCTCTGCATCGTGAGTTCAACTATCTACCCCTCCTTCCTTGTCCCCTGCCTCGTTACGTTACTTGGCATCCCTCTAACGATATTTGCACAAACCACAAGGCCCTCAAGAGCGGTGCCTCGATGAGCGACGGCCTGCTCCACAACGAGGCGGCGGACCAGTGGGTGAAGACGTCGCGGCCCGACGACATGTCGACGCGGTCGCGCCACCACGACGCCCTGTCCCTCGGCGGCGCCCAGCACAAGCACCAGCTGCGCTCCGACATGCGCTACGGCAGGAAACAGTGACTGCGCCACGGCCGCGCGTGGGAGCAGCTCCGGGCCTGGGGCGGGCCTGGGGGAGGCCGCACGCCAGCGCTGCTGCCGCCTCGACGACCGCTTCAAAATCGCCCCCTGCCACCTCTACTACACCCTCGGCCGGCGGCTGGTAGCTCCGACAGCTTCGGCCCGACATACCTATCTACGTTTTCCAAAAGCTATTCGACCCAAACAACATAAAACAAAACGAAACAGCACGGCATGCGAACAAGCGAGCATGACATAACATGGGCGGGCGCGATGTAAGGTGCGCCTCACGCTGTCCTGGACGCCTGATGGCTCCATGGACAGGCCCAGCCCTAGACCCACGACGTCACATTCACGGCCTTTCCTTTTTCTCTATTACAGCCATTGTAAAGACAAGCCTCCTCATCTGCGTGCGGGCTTTACTCTTTTCTTCTTTTTCTCTCATTACATTTTTCTTTTATCATTATACACGATTGCAGTCGTGGCTCCAATACAGTGAGCAATGGGAGGGATGTCGGGAACAATCGGGTTGACAGGAACCGAGTCCACAGGACGCAAATACAAGTCAAGTCTGGTGTTATTGTATCTTTGTGTCGTTCCCTAGGATTAGTGACCAACTTGGGAATGGTCCAAAGTGGAGAAATATGAGTTGGATCTCCTTTGACCTGGCGCTGGTCGTCTAGTAACAAGACAGAGAGAAACCAATTGAAAAAAAAAGAATAAAAAAGTCTCTTCATTATGACAAACAAACGTACGCTCCGATGTGACCCGGCCGCATAAGCACACACGTCTTTTAACTTTTGTGGCTCGAACATGCCTGTGCCTGGCGCTGCAGGAAGACGGGCAATTTTAAGAGAGAAAGAAAAGCTAAAAAGTGAACGAACGAAAAAAAAGAGGAGCGCAGGTGGTGGGCCAGTCGGAACAAACGCGGCTGGACGCTACGGGTGCAACGTCCTGCTTTTCTGTTGCGTGACAGCCGCTCTTGGCAGACCGGCGACGGGCAGCATGAGGTGGCTCCCCCACCCCGCCTTTTAGTCAGTAGCTGAGCTGTCTAGGTAGGTACATACCTCCCCTACCTCGATCCTGATGGCGGTGGTGGTGACTGACGGAACGAACCAAAAGGGGCAGCCCGGCCGCCGGTCACCAGTCACTCGCCGGCAGGCAACGCATTTGTGAAGCTTTTATGTCATGGCTGGTTGCCAGGTCTTCGCGTTCTCGAATGCCATTCTGACAAAAGATGACAGCACAATGAACTGGCAGGGACCCCGGGTACCTACCTACCTACCCAGGTATGAATCCAGCCGCATTCCGAGCGCGGGGAAGACGGACAAACGAACCCCTGCGGTGTCCCCCGGGCGTTTGCGCTCCGGTCCCCGGAGACAGCAGGGCGGATCCAGGTTTTGATACTCGGCCGCCAGCAACCTCTCCCCTCTCTGGAAAGCCATTCATTGCGACGCTACACACACACACACACACACACACACACACACACACACACACACACACACACACACACACACACACACACACACACACACACACATCCGTGCTATAGAGGATGTATAAACCGGCTCTATTCTTCGTCCCCTTGATGCCTGTTGACCTAGCCTCCCCGGTCCCGGATAGCCCTTTGCGGCACTCCCGGGCGTTGGCTGGGTGGTGGGGCTGGGCGTTCCCGCCGGGCCCTCCGCTGCCGCCGCCGCTAGTTTGATCCTGTCGCTAGCCTCGTCGCTGCCGGCGACAAAGGTTGCGCGGTACCGGAGAGGGAAGAGGAGAAGGGGGGCGATGGCAGCGCTTCTGCGGCATCGATCTCGATCGCAGCCATCGACCGGCCGGGCTACATGGGTAGGTGACCCGCCCACCTAGTTTTGCCCGGGGTGAGAGAAGGGAAAGAAAGAAGAAGAAAAAAAACTCTACCCTACCCCTCTGAAGGTATCGGAAATTCTTTCCTCTTTTCTGTCGCCGGTTCAGGGAGGAGAGGGGAAATTGCAGGGATCCGGTCAAGCGCTCGTTGTCGCCCGTCCTCCGCCTGCCCACCACCCTACGATACCGTGTGATACATAGCTAGGCAAAAGGATAAGGCAGGAGAAGTGCGCAATGACATAATAGTTTTTACGTCAATGTGCTCGCGCTGAGGGGAACTTGGCCCAGGTACCCTGCCGTCGCCTGCCAGGGGGGTGGGTGCGATGCCGTTGTGAGAATGGGGCTAGGGGCACATGACAGCATGCCATATTCGCGGGGACTAGATTGAGGTGGGACTCACCACTGGGAAATGTTGAGGAAGGTTAGAAGGCATCACGTGGCACAAGGCATGGCGGTCAGATGAGGAAGACTCAAGTAACAGTTGAAAGTCGGCGTTTGTATTAGATATTAGCGCAGTTTTCTGCTTCTATACGCGCCAAGATGCTTTTTTGCCCCTCCAGAATTCATTACCAAAAACTCCATCAAAAGGAGTGAAAAGAGCAGTGTGAGACATGTCATTCTAAATGCATTAAGCTAAGCAAATGACCTCTCTCCATGTTCCTTTTCTCGTCCTTTCCCCGTGTTATTCGAGTCCCAGACTCCCGAGGGTATATGGCATTGGTTATAATTAGAGGAGGGGGGCTCACGGGCTCGCCATGTAAAGACAAAAATGAAAATCAGAAGATGCTGGTACATGTAGTAAAGGAAACAAGGAAAGCCAAATAACCGTGAAGGGCCACACCATAGAGATGCTGCCTCGTGTCGTTAAAGGATCGTCAAGAATATGATGGTGGGGACGACAGTCCCATATGCAAAAGTGTACTAGTACACGGGAACAGAATTGCCGAGTGCTCGCGCCCGCGTCACGCTACATCCCCTTACAGGAGAGCGGCGACGGCCATGGCGGCAAAGGCAGCCAGGCCAGCAGCGCCGACCTGGACGCGGCCGCCGCCGGCAACCACAGGGGTGGTGGTAGTAGGCTGGGCGGGGGTGGCACCGACCGGGGTGGTCTGACCAGGGACGACACCAGTACCGGCGGGGCTGGTGGAGGTGGTGGGGGCCGGCACGACGGCGCTAATCGGGGTGGTGATGGGGATGAGACCGACAACAGCGGTCGAAGAGACGCCGGAGGCGGTGGTGAAGCCCAGCTTGGGGACGGTGACCGAGGTGTTGATGGTGACGGTGGAGCTCGAGCTGAGGATGGTCGAGCCGTCGTCATCAATGCAGGGCACGACGGTGGTGGTCGAGAGCACAATGGTGGTGACGGCGGCCGGGTTGGTGCTGGTGGGGGCCGGGGTCACGGTGATGTAGCTGGTAACGGTGGGGGCAGTGACGATGGCAGGGTTCTGGGGGATGTGCGGAGCGCAGATTCCCTGGTAGAAGGTGACGGCCTTGCTGATGGTCTCGTCGCTGGCGCCGTGGGCGTAGAAGCACTGGAAGACGTTCTCGGCGAAGGTCTTGTCGGGGCAGTAGCACGCGGTGTCGGTGTTGTCCTTGCAGCCAAGCTGGAAGATCCAGGTGTTCAGGCACTGGGGAACGACATCGGGGCAAGGCAGGGTCTCGACAGGGCCGGCGGGGGTGGTGGTGGTGCCGGGAGTGACGGTGGACACGACCGACGAGATGACGGTGGTGGTGGTCATGGAGTAGACGGTGGTCGACACCGGAACGCTGACAGTGACAACAGTGGTCTTGGACTGGCCAGGGCAGTCAGGCTTGTTGTCGCCGCAGCTGATGATGGTCGAGACAGAGGTGGTGAAGACGGTCGACGTGCTGGGGAAGACAGTGGTGATGGTGCTGGTGGTGCTGGAGACAGAGGTGCTGGAGACAGAGGTGGTGGTACCAGGAGCAGTCGTGCCGGGAGCGGTGGTGCCAGGAGCAGTCGTGCCGGGAGCGGTGGTACCAGGAGGAGTCGTGCCGGGAGCGGTGGTGCCCGGGGCTGTGGTGCCAGGAGCAGTGGTACCAGGAACAGTGCTGCTGGAGCCGCTGGAGCCGGGAGCAGTAGTACCAGGAGCAGTAGTGCCGGGAGCAGTAGTGCCGGGAGCGGTGGTGCCAGGGGCAGTGGTTCCCGGGGCAGTGGTAGACGTGCTGGAGCCGGCAGCAGGCTGGGTGCTGGTGGCAGGAGCAGAGGTGGTAGGGCTAGTGCTGGTGTTGACGGCAGGCTCGGTGCTTGTGGTGCCAGGGGCAGTGGTGGTGACGGCAGGCTTGGTAGGGGAGGTGGTGGGGGGCCTGGTGGAGGTGACCTTCGGGGGACCGCAGTCGAAGTCGATGCTGGTGACAGTGATGCCACACTGCGGCTTCGGCTTGTTGGGCTGGGGAGGGTAGATGATGGTCACGTTCTGGGCACCACCGCATTGGGTGTTCTTGATCTTGGAACCACCCTTCTTGCAAGGGGCACGGTGACGGCAGAGAGAACCGTCGGGCATGTCGTAGTGGAACTCGAGATCGCAGTCGAACTCAGTCGACACGTGGATCTTGTCCAGCGAGAACTTGTCGGGCGAGCCGAACGAGGGGCATTTGGGCTTCTCAGGGAAGCAGGTGCCGCCGATGACCTTGTTGGGGGTACGGCGGTCGAACTGGCCCCGGCGCTTGAAGTTCTTGTCCTCGGAGCACTCCCAGCCCTTGAACTTAAACCTATCGTAGTTGTCGACGTTGCCCAGGGGCATGTCACCCCAGTTGAATCCGGTCTTCTGCTTCTCCTCGCACTTGTTGTCGGTGTTGGACGGGCAGGTGAAGGGGTTGGCACCCTTGAAGGTAGCCGAAGCCCCAGCAACCAGGGCCAGAATGGTGACAGACTTCATGTTTGCGGTGTTGGTTGTGGATTTGGTTGGGTTGTTTGTTGTTTTCAAGAGTTGGAGACGGAAATATGGAGCTGTTGAGCGAGTGTAGCTAGGTCGATAGCAAAAGTGTTGTGGTGAAAAAACCAGTCTTGCTGATAACGAAGGGAGCAAAGAAAGCGAATGACTTTACTCAAGAAGTGAATCTGTTGTAGAATGGATGATGAAAAGGAAGACGGTAAGAAAGGGGATTCAGGGACTGCTAAAGAGCATGAGGAGAGAAAGGAAACAGAATGAGCGGTTGGACGAGGAAGCCAGACGGCTATATAGAAACGACGGTGGTGGTGTAAGTGCCCTTTCCGTACCGGGCCAGAGACGGCTACGGCTCCTCCTCGTCCAGCAGGGAGAAAGAACCCCGGGCAGGTGGCTTGGTGTGGGTGGCCAAGGACAAGGGCCCAAGGACAAGGGGGGTGGAGGGGCCAACGGGCGGGCCTCTTTGTCCCCTTGTCGTCGGCCCCCTTGTCCAGTCCCTTTTTTGGCATCCCCACGCAGCATTTGGTTCCCAAAGGGGCGCGAGCGAGTGACCGCAGCCAGGAGCTGTCGACTGATTTCCGTCTTTGGGCCGGCCGCGCCGTGCTCCTCTCTGCCCACACCCCGGGGGAGAGATGCCCGCCATGCCTTGGCTCGACTTTTCCTGGTGGAGGAGCGGCAGATCCTCCCGCCGCGCGCGTGCGGCGATGTCCACGGCCACCCGCCGCGTGCTCAGGTCGCCGCCTCTGGCTGTCACCTTTGGGTGGTAGTGTCTCTCCCCTTGGCCTGTGTCTTTTATTTGCCGCCACTAGCAACGCCTCTTTCTGGCTGCTGGTTGGCCTCTTGCTCGCAAACGGGCGCGGAGGCGGTCGTTGACGTGCGGCGCGAATCGCTGGCCAGCGCCCCAGCGCCAGAGAGGCCTGGGACCTATCGAACGGACGGTCGGCAGCCTCAAGCGCTTTCGCCAGCGCTTTTCTTGGCAGCCCAGTCATAGCAAAGCCGGGGGGGCAGTGGAGCGCGCGGCTCTGACCTCTGTCGTGGGCTCCTCTTTTTCTTTCGCCAGGGGTGTTGCCCCATTATTACCCCACCCACCCACACATCTGCTCGATGCTAGCACGAGCCATTTTTTTCTTTTTCTTTTTCCTTCTCTACCAGTTGTTTGGCGGCCAAGCATCCGCTGGTGCGGCACGCACTTTAGCCAATTATGGAAGCCTGGCTGTGTCGGCAGCAAATATCGTGCAACTCGAAACGGCGCCGCAAACGCCTCAGGGGAAACTTCTCGTATCCTTTCCGATGCCACTCTCCTGAGGCAGCTGCCGGGCCGGGAAGCAGGGGAATTGTGCAGACTCCTTTGACTCCTGCAGTCAAAGACGGACGGCAAAGACTGACGGCACAGTCACAACGGCAATCTGACGTGCGGCGACCGCGGGCTGTTTGCGCCGTCGACGTAATCCCCTTTGATCCCTTTTTGGAGGGGCCACGCGAAATTGGCAGGCGAATAATAGCACAAAAGCACCTGTGCCGACAAAGCCGGTTCTCCGTCTTACGCCCTATGTTGCCTGGCCGTCGGCGCCCAGCGCTACCATCGGCGCCCACAGCGCTCAATGTCGCATACGCTTTCATAACATTAGCGAGCCACAATCCCGCTTATTCTCCGGCTGGTGCAAAGCCCCTCTGCCAATGGTGCAGCACCACGCAGTCGCTCTATCGTATCCGCGGCTATGAAATGCCCGAGGTGGGTTCGCCCCCTCTGGACCCTGGACCAGCGCTGCAAAGTGCTCGAAAGAAGGAATTCGAAATCACGGAAAGAGGTCACACACGGACATCGCCTTCCTTGGCAGGATGAAACCGCCACAGCCATCTTGCCATCATCACCCAATAGTCAGAGGAGAAAAATAGCAAGAACAAAAGCCCTCTTTGCTGGATACGCTCAAAGAACCGACAAACACGAGGAACCTGAAACGTGCAGAAGTCACTGGCCGCCGTGATGGTGGGTGGCATGTGGGTCCCTTTTCAGGTACTGTACCGAGCAGCACAGAGGCTGCTCAGCCACTCCGATCCGCGCTAATGCAGGAACCCACACAGAGCAAATCGGGATGGCAGACCCAATGATGCGATCGTCCGGGCCGGCGAGTCGCTGACAGCTAGTCGTGGCGCCCAACCATGTGCTGTTTGCGGTGACAAGAAGTGGAGAAGCCTTGAAAATAGCCCGGGATCTGGAAAGGAGCACCATTACAGTATGTTAAAGGAGCTTCTTGGGAAGGTAGGCACACAGGCACCCCCATGACAAAATTATTGGCACCGCAAAAAAAGGTAGGGTGGAGGGACGCGAAGGTTCGAGGGTCGATTTAACGGGGTTGGGAAAGGATACGCCAGCCGGATCTCTTGGAGATTCCAGCCCAACGAAAAACAGCATTGTGACTGTAAGGACGCTTTTCTGAATCAAAGAAATCGCATATAGATTGCACGCGTGTTTTACTAGGCGTTGAGAGCTTTTTAGGCATCGTTTTGAGGCTTTGTTGTGACGTGGTTTGGATTGAAAATGGTGGTTTAGTGGGAAAAAAATCGAATTGCGGTGCCAATAATTTTGTCATGGGGGTGACAGGTTACACATATCGACAGGGTCTATAAACAGCCACGCCATCTAATTACTATGTACCTGGGCCTGATCGCGGGACCGACGACGTAGCCCGGCCATCGCGATCTGCGCGCGTGGGCAACCGAAAGGGAGACACGAAGGGGCACCCATCGCAAGCGACATTCGAAGCCATCTCCGGAGTCTGTCCCCTGGAGCCCGATGACCCAGCGATTCACTAATCAATCTCCATTGCGTGCGCACCATGCCCGCTCCACCCCGCCCAGGGCGACCCAGCCTAGGCGAGAGCCGCCCCCCTCCCCACACAGGCTGCAGAGCCCGATTTGGACGCTGCATGAGGCCTGAGCGCTTCCTCCTCTCTCTAGATGGGGAACGTTGCATGGGAGACTGCCACGCCCGTCACCTGGGCAATTTGCTGTCACCTTTTTCGGCCTCTCTCGCTTCTCGCTGGACCTCGCGCAATGGCCCGCTCTCGATAGCTTCGATATCCACCTCGGTGAGCGGCGGCGGTGTGCCTATCTATGTAAGCTCTTTGCGGTCTTTGACCGCCTGGCGCTGGGCTGGCATTTGGGCATGGGTCCAGTGCAATGCATGGGACAGACATGCCGAGGCATTCACAAGCGCGCGCGTGTGCCGCCTGCCTTCAACCCGTCGGGCAGTTTTCCAGCTTCCTTTTTCACCGGGCTCTTTCTTTCATGTTTCAACTGCAACCCCGAACCCGATTGGGCCTCTGTAGTGGTAGCCAAACAAAGGTGGGGTCCGTTTCAGGCCTTTGCACCTACCGGCGAAGGTCACCACTGTCGGCCAATCGTGACCAGGAGCTTTCCCAAAGCGGAAGTGCGAGAGTTCGTGAGCACTCGAGCTTGGACCCGCAACAGCGGACAGGGTCACCTCATGTTCAGGGCGGGGGCCCCATGTCACGCTCAGGCACGCCTTCCGTCAAGCCAGGCGTCGTCGCTTCCACAACATCACAATCGGACCGGTGTTCAAGCTTTTCCCCTCTGACTCGAACCACACACAACTGGGGCCGTTGGCGATGGCGCTCCTTGGACTCTCTGCCCTGCCCTGCCCTGTGCCCTGCCCGGGGCTCCCGTTTTTCTTCTCCAACGTCGTCTTCCGTAGGCGTCGCCTCTGGTGGGACCGCTGTGACCACCACCACCGATGGCCGGTTGACTAGCCCATCTGCCAGCGCCTGGTGGATGCCTTCTGTCACTTCCAATTTCCCATGGCCTGTGCGCTGTGTCAAAGCTCCCTCGTCGCCCCCGATCAAGATGTCGTTAGCAAGGCTGGGCAGGCTCCAGGTTCCAGGGGGAGGTTCCTTTTCTTCTTCCAACGCCAAATCGAAAGACGTCGAGCGCGATATTGTACTTTTATGAATGCTCGAATCCATGCTTCCCCTAGCTTGCGATCTGAGTATAGCCTGTGAGGAGGCCGCCTTGGCGGGAAACGAAGCCCCCAAAAAAAGATCGACGACGCATGAACCGCGGAACAGGGAAAGCTTTTGTTGGCTTGGCCCCTCTTCCGTGGCTCAGCAGCCCCCCCCCC